TTCAAAAACGGCGACTAAGGAATATGAACTAAGTAATGGCCGACAACGATGAACTATACGTCATTTCAAATATTGGAGACATCTCTACCTTGGGGAATCAAAAACGGCAATAAGATACGTTTTCTCATAAGTATATATATATTTCTTGTTTAAGTTACCCCTTATCAATATTGTATTCTATTTGCTAAAAGCAAGCATAAACTAGATATGACATACTGTTAAAAAAAGAACAAAGACCTCAACGTGGTGTGAAATGCCAAGAGTAGCGAAAAGATGCGTAATAGATAATATTACAGCGACATAACGAACAGACTGCTACATAAACAAAATACCAACGTAGAATAAAAGAGGAACGGACGATAGCTTCTAAACAGACAAAATATGTGATTACTTAACGGGCGGATATGAGGTACAACAACGTTAAGCTTAATATTATATATACTTAGCCGCGATTAGCGGTTTACTCTTATTGCAAAGTAGTCTGAGATAGCCAGAGTACCTAGAGTTCTACCTATGTTTTCCCCAGTCTAAATGTAGGGAACACATAAACCCTGAAGGCGCAATCTTACAGCAATTAACTGTTTATTCAGTTTAAGTCTATTGTATTAATATTAATGCCATATTAATGTCATTGTTTTTGTCTACGATGTGTAATTCCTTTGAAAGAAAATATATGTTATAGTTTGAATAAAGTGTGCGTAGTGCCGTAAATTCGAATTAACTTTATTACTATTTTGTTTATATAAAAGGGATAAAAAAATTTTTTATTTAACTTTTGTAAGAATTGTTAGAGACACGAAAAATATAAAGCATGGCGATTGCTGAGTTTTATACATGTATGGAGGTTAGTGCAGATGAGTGATTTTAGTTGTGATGGACTCGCGACGTCTCAATTAAATAAAGGCTTCCTAATATCTTCCAACCATATTGAAAACATTTCGATAATATTAATTGGTCCTTTTGTTCTGAAATTCCTTATAGTGTAGTTCCTACACTTCACAAAATGATAATAATGTTTATTGGAATTAAAAACGCAAATTATATATGAATTACATAAAGTAAAATTAACCAGAATTGTCCGTCCACAAATGGATTTTTAGAAATTGACGACTTAATTTTACCACGTTTTCTTTTCAAGTGGTCCAAAGAAAACAATTTAAAGACTTATTTTACGACGTTCTTTCTTTTCAATTTGTTTATGTCGTTTTCGTCTGCCTGCCTTTAAGCAGTGGAAACAAAAAGTACGTATTCTGTTTAAGGAACTGAGTTCAGTTTTGTCATACGGGTAAATGATTTTACCGGTTTATTCCGTTTTGACCTTGATGACGTCATTTTTTTTATTAAAGTTATTTACAAGTAAATTTATTTTTGAAAAAAACATCTAATATTTTCATTTCTTCTCCCTTCGAATGATTCAACTCTGTCGGTATGAATAAGTGTATTTATAAACGTTTCCAAATAAACCACGAAATATCGATGTGGTGTTTCTACCGGTTGGATTTCCCGGCGAATTTTGTTAACACTCTTGTTCGGTACCTTGGTAGTTTTGTTTATATTTTCGTAAATCGTCGCTTGCGGAACATGCTCTTATTTTATTATGTCGGTAGGTAAGACGTTGATAGCTCTGACTTCAGTTTATTTCTTTCCCAACACTATTAGAAGTTTTGTTTTAAACAGGGTTAGGCAATGTTAATGTAGAATTATTTTGTCATATATAGAATTTTCGTAACATATATACGTATCTATATTGTGCCTTGTGGACTAAAGTTTCAAGCTCATTTTGGCATTACACATTAGTTATTTTGCGTATAAAAATCTAGTGAATTCGTAGGCGAACACGCTGGTTTGTTTTGTAATTGAAAATTAACTGGCTACAACAATTATATATAACATAGGCTCCGAGAAAATGAGCGGAGCATATCTTCCTTCTTCTGGATTCTGTCACCGCACTGTCACATGGCAGGGTATAACATCGGTAGGAACACGATAGAATGGACTGTTCAGGAACCGTATAGGTTAGTATTTTAGTGCAGAACAAGAGCCCCAAGCAGACTAATCTATTTAAACTAAGAGATAAATTGTGCGATTAGAATTTTGTAAACCTTAATGACAGAGAATTAATAAGTGCCCTTAGACAATGCGTGACGGCTAATAAGTGTCCTTAGACACCACTTAAGTTATAAAAGCCACTATTTGAAACTTGTTGCTATAATAAGGCGAATTGTAGATGATAAGTTAGAATTAATATTCTCTCGAATGGCAACTGAAAAAATTCCGAAGTTTATTATTCTTCTGAACGTATCGAAAGACTAAAGGTACGGAAAAAGAGGTGGGTTTCAAGGTTAAGTCCACTTATCAATAGACCTGGACAAAACCGGCGAGTCAATTCAAAGTTATACAAAAATAAGAAATTTTCGACAATATGGGAAAATTTTTACTCTTTACAGTGCATAAGCGTCACATCGCGTAGTACATTCTTCCACTAATGTTTAGTGGTATTATTCTCTCCGATGTCAGATATTTTTTTAACGAAAACATGTAAGAAAATGATATTTTTTTAAACTAAGGGAAATCTTTGTATTCTGTAATATTGGGTGAGCATGTATTATTTTTTCCATTATTGTAGGATGTACGTGAAATTTTTTTTTTTAGTTTATAAGTAATTAGTAAAAGACTCAGAAAGTAGACGTGTTCTCAGTTCATGTTACAGTGCGAACATATACTTTAACCAATTTGACTCATTTTCTATAAGTTCTATTGTCAGGACTTCCGATATATTTGCCGTTTGCGAAACCGATATCATAATTTTTGCGAAAGGGAAAACGTTTGCTACAAACATTACACAGTGGAGCAGACGAACATGCTTAGAAGTATTACGAATTTAACATTAGTCAAAGTAACATGTATTCTATATGTTTTAAGGCGTTTATAAAGGTTTTGACAAGAAAACAATACTTTCATGTACCATATTATTGGTTAAGCGTGACCATTTTATTCCGTATTTGTACAGGTACCGTAGCATTGCAAATACAATTTACTCTTTAATTTTTATGGGTCTATCTGCTGTGGTTTGTGAGTAATGAGTGAAAGAACATTTTCTCCACTTTTAAAAACAGAGGTGACTTCAGGTGTTCTCTGGGTGTGCCTTTCGACTGATACAGCTCATCACCATTGCACCTGCGTGCAAAGACTTCTAAAGTTCCTGCCGATAGCCTCATTCTGGCGCTCAAGAGAATGTTAACAACAGACATTACACGAACAGGCATATTTAAATCGGTTCAAAATTTGACGCGGATCTTGAATATATATACTTTATGAAGCGTTTTTTTAGGTTTTGGAAACGTTTTGACAAAATGAATATAACGCCACCTTCCGGTGTTGGGCTATACACACATTTTCTTGCTTGCTTAATCAATATAGCAAACAAGAGTCATCAAAATTATACGTAGACTTTTTCAACATGATTTTAAATAAATCACGCAATATGCTCATTGTTTTGTAAGTTTTATAACCGGTGCCCCACTGCAAATAAGATAAATATTATCACAACATAAATAGCATCAGTTTCTAGCCAAAGAAAACAGCTGTTACGTAAGGCATCCTTTCACCGTAACGGTCAAAACACCAGCATACTCGAAAAAGTTTGGCCTAATTATACTGCCACCCCAAAAATCCAGAGATTGTTTAACTTCTTCTCTTCGATTTTTGCAAGTCGTCGTCTGGTAACAATTCAATATTGGCGTATAAATTAGAATGACGATATACGTATTTTAAATATTTAATATTTCTTTAGATTCGTATACTATTGTCTGGCTCTTACTTCACGATTTTTGCGTCAATGTACGAAAACTATTGAATTCCATACTTTGATGCATTCCTATAATATAATGTGTAATGGTAAAGGTAAGCTAAACTTACTGTTATATTCCATTATTGTAGAAACTGGTTCGTTTTCTTTTGCTTATTGACAGTTATATGCAACGATGCATCCATATAAAAGATGTAGTCTTTTGACATATTTCAATTTATGTCAAATTATAACTCTTAACCTTTCTAATTCCTTAAAGAATTGTAAAAGTTATGTGAACTTTTCTTTTTATGTTAGATGCAATGGCTATCGAAATATCCTTTTTATTTTTATATAAATTTTGTTGAAGCACACGTTCACTGAGGATATGAAAATTTCCAAATCAAAAAATTACAAAAATTGTGTCACAACAAAATTATGCACATTGTTCGTATATGCGTATATATAATACTTGTTGGTCCGCTTTATGTTATAAACACATCAATATCCGTATCTTCAACATATATGAACAGGCTGGGCTTCACGCTATCAAAATGAAGCGTGCGATTGGCTGTACTTGTGCTCAAATTAAAACAATTGCTTCTTATTATGTATTCATGCCGTATATTGTGTGCGTTGTTGGAGTATTGCTTTCATTGGAGCTCGTTTGTGTTTTTTTTTTTTTTTTCTTTTGGAATATATTTAACAACGTATATATCATTGCGGTGGCATACTTTAGCTGCAGTCGTCGGTGAAGTTTATAATGACAGCAACATAGAGTTGGTTATCTACGTTTCCATTACACATGAAGAAAAAAAAGCCGGAGAGAAATAGTTCACTGATTGTATTAAATTACGTTGAAAATTTTGCTATCATGATGTGTTTACATTCCTAACATCAGTGTGATTTATCGGATGCTGGTGTGGCTGTGGCGTAGTGGTTAACATGAGAGAGGATAATGCTGAGCGTTCATCAGAGGTCAAATTCAATTTAGGATGCGTAGATGAATAACAGCTGACAGTTACACCGGTTAACTCTGTAGCTAATAGGGTTGCGGCACCATTGCCAATCTCTATATTCGTATCACAGAGAGATAAACCCAATGTATCGACAGTTTTGGCACTTACGTCATCGCAATGAGTTGATATAGCAGGTTTGCTGAGCAATTTTGGCGACATACTGAAGAGCGTTGATCACTGAAGACGCGACCAGTAATTGGTGCCATTTATTTCACCACTATTTTGAGGGGGGATTTGCACCGGAACGGACACACCGGCCGACAACACGCCAGTAAACGATTGATTTTCTACCGTAGAAAATAAATGGATTTACAAAGTATACACTATTAAAAAAATTTAAAAACTGTATTGAATGATTTCATTAATAATAATCTTTAAAAATGATTACCGGTGTTATTTCCACTGACACTGGTGTTGCTGCCATAAACAGAGTGTTGTGCTGACGGCTGATGTGCTGCAGATGGGTTACACGACGGACGTGCGTGGGCCACGTAAGCAGAGCCAAGCGACAGTGGATCATGAAACATATAGGGATAACTGTCTCTTTGGTGCAGGCATGACGTCGACATAGAACTAAGTGATGATGTCACTGAGCTAGAATGTACGTGAGGATAGATATAAATGCTGATTATATTTTAATAGCTTGTCGAAGTTCGGAGTGTCTTGTTTTAAAAAAAGAAAGAATTGCTTCGAAACCTCTTTTAAAGAAACTCATATATCAGCTAGAAAAATATATAATATCAATATTTTAATGCTATATTGTAAAAAGAACATCTTTTTTTTTATTAATCAATTTTATTAGTTAGCAGGGAAAAGTTTATTAAAATATTAAACTAAAGACAAAAATGATTATATTAACATATTAAAAATCTTCCTTCGATTTGGTTCATTTTTAAAGCTACGTCTAGGTTAAAGAAAAGCTGTTTTTATAGGCCTACATTTGTTTGTTTTCCACAAAATGGATTAAAGATATTGTGACTATAATTTCCTCCATTTTTTTACAGTTTTCTTGTATGTCATGTTTTTTTTAGTCGCCACATTTAGTCGTCAGAATGCTAAAAGAGTACAAAGGTAACAAAGCCGGTTTTACAACTATTTGACGGAAAGTTATGGTTAGTGAATTCAGAATAATGCTTAATCTATATGTATATATGCTTATAAAAAAAAGATTATCAAAAAGGACTGCAAAGATTGTTGTGTATAATGGAAGAATAAGTTTATCTTGTTGTCGAATAAGAAATTTGGAGGTGAAAGATTTAACACCAAGCTTAAATTAAGACTAAACGGCTTTAGGTGGGGTCAGCAGATTGTGGAGTATCTTGAAATTGGCTTATTTATATATATATATATGTACGAACAATAAAAGCTTTTAAAATCTGCTTTGCATAGCGGTATTGCCTGTAGAATAGTCCGCAATATTTTTAGATTACTAGGCCCTTCTGTGCACGTAAAACTAAGGCTATGCTAAAATATTATTTGACTGCTTTTCTCTATTATATTTTTTAAAAAAAGCTGGAATTTACATTGTGTATGTGTGTAGCTTATGAGTAGCAAGCGAAAACCATGGAAAGCGAGAGTGTTCTCAGTTTCTGTTGCGTAGACGTGTTATAGATATGTCCTTTGTGAGCGATGTATTTATTTTTGCAAGCGGGAGCATGTTTAGCATAGATACTACATAGATTGGCAGATGAAAAGATGAACAATGGAATGGTCATGCTTAGGCACATTCTAAATTCGACATTAGTCAAGAATACACGTAATTTATGGGGTTTTTGAACTTTTTCTGGGCGTTATAAAGGTTTCATTAAAAAAAATCTAATTTTGATACGTTAACATATTGGGTGAGCGTACCCCAGGTACTGCGGAATCACTTATAGAATCTCAGTTCAGAATTCGGCTATAAAGACGCTAGGATTATTTGTTTGACCTAAGAATGGTATCACAACTTGTTTACTTCGAAGGCGAGAAGATCTATTACCGATCTGATTTCAGAGAGAAAAAGGATGTACATGATTCCTAAGTTTCTCAAAATACATCTACAAAAAAACCGCTTTGGGGTCTATGTTCGACAAACTGTAATTAGTTGTAGAAAGAATACATTTAAGCTGATCTTCCTTTTCATTCTTTTTGACAGTTTGCCATTTTGAATAATAATGAAGTCACTAAGATTAAACGAAGCTTATGCTGCTGAATAAAGAGTGCCATTTTTATCGCGATTAGCAGAGAAACGGAGAAGACTAAATCGATTTCGTTGATGGTGTTCACACATTTATGTATTGCGTGTTCGATATTACACAAATATCGCAAATATTTCCAATACTGTACAAACATTTCCACACATAAATTCTCAAACCAGATAAGAACGTTAAGAACATATAATTGTATTTCCTTCCGCTTTCTAGTATTTTGCTGTTCGGTAATCTTGGGATAGAAGATTCATTGGCTATTAGAAAACTAATAGACGTAGAAATAAGTACTCTATTTTTTTTAATAGAATTTAAATTTATTTAAAACATATTTGTTACAAAGTTTAATAATGGAAATATTCCCCTTCGCTCTCTGTGGCCTTTTGCCACGTATGGGGTAGCTTACGGATGCTCTCGAGACCTGGTGTTTTCGAGGCGAAACGGGGATCGCAAATCTTCACCTTTTGTGAACTGCTGATCCGCTAAACATGACTGCATCGATCTAAACAAGGGGTAAAAGAAGCTAAGTCTGAAGACTAATTCACATGCGAGAGAAGCTCACAAATCAAATTGAAGATTACTTTCTTCCTATTTCGTTTGCATGCGGACGAACGTTGCCGTGAAACAAAATGGCTTTCCGGGTTGGGTTGACGGTAAATAGCTCTTTTTCGCCAATCGAGTGAATTGGTTTGATAGATTGGGCTTACTATCGTTAAAAGTAATATTGTCATTATTCCTTAGAAGTTTGTGACAAGTATAGTAGCATTTGTGAGCATGAATATTCGGGTTTGCAAGAGATGTGGATGGTTTTATCGGATTAATCCATGTGTTTTCGTTAAGTTGCATTTTTCGTCGACTTAACGGTGATGTGGTTTATGCAGGGCCGTAGACACTGGTTGTTAACATTCACCTTTTTGCACGCTTTGATACGCACTCGACGACGGTTTGTAAATAACTACCTTTTATGTTGCAAAAACTGCAATGGTTAAGTTATGTGTACCGACAATTGCGGGACAAATAAATGTATGTGTTATGTTGTACGTTTTATAAAACAACCAATATCATCATCACTAATAAATAAACAGATTTGACTAAGCACGAGAAATTTGTAAAAAATTAGAACGTTAATAAAGTTAAACCCAAAATATTATTATAACGATAACAGGGTTTCATTTAAAACACAAAACAACGTGATCGAATAAAGTGAAAATGAACGTTTAAAGTTCGTTGTGACTTCGTTCGAGTATAACCAATTTGATGTGAAAACATCAACTAATTCTATCCGTCATACCAATTTTTGACAATCGAATACTAGTATTATCTTTAGCTATGCACTCAATTATTTATTTATTTATTTATTTATTCTAATTCTACTTTTACTAGAAACTCAACTAAACAAATAACAGTCGAGTTCAATTGGCTCATAATGCAAAATTTATATTAATTTATAATAAAATTTAGTATAAGTATAATAAAACAAATAAGAAGAAGAAAAAAAGAAAGAGAAAAAAGAAAAAAAAGCATGTACACTATCAGCATAGAGCCACACTTACAACCGGTACAGGACCAAATTGCAAATGAACCCCTAAGCTATCGCAAACATGCATAAGCCTGGCAACCGATAATAATTACCAATAATTCATTTTCGAGTCGTAACGACTTTTTAAGGTTAAAAGCCAGTTTAAGTACGACATAGGCAAATCACGCGTATTAAGCAATGTTGCTTTAATGGACTTTGAAGTGTCCGATAACGAGAATAAGTGGTAGACGTCATTTAGGTTCTTTCAAACGACTCTGAGCGGACTAAACAGCTCATAATTAAATTTACTCTGACTAAGCTTAACCAAGATAAAGTGGCTAGAGAAGCGGTTAGGGACATTAAAGCTTATTTCACCAAGTAATGAAGGCGTGTCATTAGCACCATTTATTACTTTGATTACAAAGGAAACGCCAAGAACAAACCTACGTTTCTCAAGAGACGGTAAGGACAGCAGAAGCAACCTATTTTCGTACGGAGGAAGAGAGGCATTTGGATCCCAACCCAAATTTCTAAGGGCAAACAGCAAGAATTGCTTTTGAACAGATTCAATTGAATCTACATAGCACCTATATGAAGGAGACCACACAACTGAGGCATACTCGAGTATGGGTCTAACCAACCACATGTGCAGCCTTTTCGTACTGTAGGGATCATCAAGCTCTTTGGACCACCTTTTTATAAAACCGAGCGCTGACCCAGCTTTGCTAATCGAGAGCTCAATATGAAAGTTAAAACGTAACCTATGGTCAAATAGAACGCCTAAACCTGTAATCGAATCGACCTCCTCCAACTTATGCGAATCTATGAAATACTGAGTAATGAATGATTTTCTTCTTGGGAAAGAAAGCTTCTAACATTTACTCAGATTTAGTTTCAGAAGATTCAAAGAGCACCATGCAACAAAATTATCCAAGTCACCTTGAAGCTGATGTGATTGCGATTCAACAGCGAAGGAGGAAAACAGTTTCAAATCATCCGCATACATTAAGATCTGGCTGGAATTAACCACCGATGGAAGATCGTTAATGTATAAACTAAATAAAATGGGACCTAAGTGACTGAAGTGTGCAGATAAGAGCTTATCCATTTCACTAAGTAGAAAGGGAAGCAAGAGGCTTGGAGTTTAAAGATAAGTAAGTTATGGTTAACCATATCAAATGCTTTGCTTAAATCAGTGTAAATAACATCTGTGCGAGAGCCACTAGAAAAAGCCTTGAAAACATGACAGGTAAACTCTAACAAGTTGGTGACTGTAGATCGCCCTTTCCGAAAGCCGTGCTGGTGCGAAGAAATATACGAATTAATGGGAAAGGCCAAATGCTGAGTCACTAGTCAGAGGCTATGCCTCTGTAGTTCTCAACAAATTGTCTGCTTCCACTCTTGTGGATAGGAATAAGGAAACTACTCTTCCAACATGAAGGGAAAACACCGAAATACAAGGACAGGTTAAAAATCTTTGAGATTACACCACATAACTCGACAGCGCAAGATTTAAGTACACATGATGGAATTCCATCAGGTCCAGGCGAACAACTGTATTTTAGAGAACTCAACCCTTTAAAAACATCATCTTCCGAAATAACCAAGTTAGGTATTGAAACCGAGTTAGTTATAGGATATGGGTAGTTTGCTGATAAATCGAAATTAGCAATCGAAAAGTTTCGTCGGAAATACTCAGCAAATAGATTTGAGATTTCAAAATCATCCGAGGAATCAGAGCCATTAAAAGAAATATGAGAGGGATATGTGGATATTTTTCTTTTAGAGTTAACAAATTTAAAGAAGAATTTAGGATTAGCAAACAGACAGGATTTAATGAACGGAAGGTATCTGTAGTAATAATAATGGTTGAGGGAGTTAAATCTATGCCTCGCCACCGAGTAAGCGACATAGTCGAGCGTAGAGCCACTTTTCGAATATTTTTTGAATAGCGAGTTTTTTCTATTCTTGTGATATTTAATTGTCTTATTAAACCACGGGGGACACCTGCTTCGAGGTCGACAATGCTTGATCGGAACAGATGCAGCAATAGCTAGATTTAATGTATTGTAGAACGATGACAATAAGCTTTCAATACTACCGGTTGAGAAATCAAGCCTCAAATGTGGAAGACAATGTTTTAGTAATACAATATTGATTTTATGAAAATCATAATAATTATTTAAAAAAGTTTGATTTGGCACATTAAGGCATTTCAACGAACCATCATTCATATTATGAAAGGAAATGCATATTGATGGATAATTAGGATCCTCAGGTAAACTAAAAGGTGGACAACGATTTACGTTAATCTCGGAAAAATTGGCAAAGCAGAGATCAAGCAGTCTACCATTACAATTAGGGGTACGATTATATTGACCCAAATTATGATCAAACAATTCACTAAAGAACACAATAGCCCTATCAGACGTTGGAGTAGGAACCAAACAGCCAGAATGATCACTGTTACACCAAGTAACTTGAGCAAGTTGAAGTCATCCAATGCAACGACCAAATCGGTGGGTGTAGACAGCTTGGCCACTTCACAAATGAGGGCAGCGTGTTTCTTGTAAATGGAGATATCAGAATTTGGGGGAATATAGGAGCAGGTTATAAATAGATGTTTATCAGGCATATTCGCACGAATAGCGATAAATTCAACTTCAGGAGAAGTGGGAAATTCAATTAAATTGGACGGGACTGTCGCAGATATGGCAATTAATACACCACCACCAATGCGATTCAATCGATCATTTCTAAAGACTTGAAAAGAATTATGAAAAAGTTCTGACGAATGAAGATCGGGTTTTAGCCAAGTTTCAGTGAAGGCCAAACAGAAAAACTCCATGCTCACTGAATTTAGAAAAGTAGAACGAATTTTTGAATTTAGGCCCCTAACATTTTGATAAATGAGAGATAATGGGCCTGAAGAAACATTTAGTTTTTTGAAGGCGACAAGACTCTTGCTTTGGTATTACGGAGACGATTCCGAGGTATAAATTCCTTAATTAAGGATGCTACTGGCCACAGTGGTTTGTTTAACAACATATCACTGATTTCAGTCGGAACTACTATTTTAAAAGAGGAGATTGTCCTAGATTGCGAAGGAGCCATTTTGAAGATGCTACCGCGCTTTAAGTTGACTGATGAGGCTTTCGTCGCCAGATAACTTTTTATATTATTCACCCATGTTTCAGGTGCCAGTCTTGACACAAATATTGCTTTTCTGGGAGGAACTGCCGTCAAGCAAATGTCATTATTTGGAACAGGAGGGGGGTTCACGGTAGGAGAGTTTCGAGTTAGGGAGAATATAGATGGGGTTATCGCCCTTGTACCGGCAGCTTGTGAGACTTGCCAAGTCTGGTGACCAGCATTCACACGCGAACAGCCAGGAGGAGAGGATGATTTATTTTTCTCTTCATTACTTTTAGGCGATGGCGTTTGATTAAAGTGAGTGGCGACTCTGGGCGGAGATACCCTAGCCACTTCATCGTAGCTTAAAACCGATGGACTTGCCGGTTTGTTTGTAACTGGTTTGCTACCAACCGACTCAGCAATAACGGAAACATTACTGTTCATTTTAGAGTTAGAGGGAGCGGTAACTTGTACCAACGAATTAGATTTGGAGAAAGCCAGAGGTGACGTCCCACACGCTACGCTACGAGTAAAAGGTGAGTGTCCAATAAAGCGACATTCATCAAACCTAGACTTAATGAGTTGAAACTTTTCCCACAAGGAGCCGAGATTTCTACTCAATTCCGAGAAACCATAACGGGTCTCCGTGAAAAGTTTATAAAAGTCAATGTTCCGCTGCCTACAGTCAGGACATGACCATTTTAAGCCTTTAGACGGGTCAGCGACTGCATCAGCAGCACGGCCCACTTTGCATGACCAAAGCGCTCGCAGAGCCAACAAGAAACGAATCTATCAGAATCTGGGCCAGATTTCGCCCGACAAGGTGTATATAAACACTCCATGTCCAGTCAAAAAGACAGTTGTGGATTATGAAGAACGGACACAAAAATCACTAAAAACAAATCGTGAACATAAAAATTTATCAACCAAATTTGTGCAAAACTTGTCTGTTACGTTGACACTGTAACGAGAGATCAATAGCAACACAAACTCCAAACAACGAAAAAATAACAGAGAAAAAAGAGAGAAAACAAAAAAAAAAAGAGAGATTTATATCAGAGCTCAAAATTTTTGTTTGCAAAAATCAAATGAATCAAAGCGTAAAGGAAAAATATTTCTTTTACTTTGAATTCACTCACTTTCTTCTCAAAGTATATTATAAATTCACACACTATAAGGCAATATAGCCACGAAATTCAACAAAAAATTAAAATATTAATTGCCGAAACAAAATATAGATGACTATACCGTGCGACAGAGTTGCCAGACTGAAAAATCAGCATTTAAAAAAACGTCATATATTTACTTCCATCACTCTGAAAATTATCATAGAACATTTCGTTCATTGTCATAATTGTTCGATGTAAATCTACAAGACAAGCATATGAGTATTCTTTTTTCCAAAACATTTGCCGAAGACAGAAGGTAGATTCAAAAATCCTATGTGGTATATATACTTTTTATTTGCATCACCATCATTCTAAATCAATCTGAACATGCCCGTCTCTCTGTCCACGTAACGTCTGGGGTAAACTCTCTCCTCCTTCAAAAAACAAAAAAGGTATATGGATTTTTGCTTGCTGCTTAAGAACTACAATAGAAACAGCGATAAAAATTTGCACGTATATTCTGTAACTGATACCCTGGCACTTGTTACGCAGTACCGAGATATCATTCATTTATCAAAACGTTTGTAACACTAAAAAAATATCTTCGGAGATTCTATAAGTCTATAAGTATATATTATTGGTCAGTATCATATGTCAATCCATTTGGGCGCGTTTGTCATTTATAGCCGCAACAACAACAATATCGGCTTTAATTCAAAAAAGTATTGGAAGTTGCGGCACGGAAATAAGTCGAATCGGTCAAAGTAGAGGCCTACGGTACAAAAACCAAAAAAAAAACGTTATTTTGCTCCTTGCCACAATAAATCATGCAAGTTCTATTTTCATATAAAGATTGTCGGCATAGAGAACATAATTTTCTTACTTGGTGAACAACAAAAGGCAAAGTTTATACTGCGTATCTATTGCACTTTATAACGAACAGAAAACACGAAAAACAAAGGTATTCTCACTTTGGATAATTTTCCAGTTTCATTTGCAAATTTATATGCGATATCTTCATATTCACGAACAGAAAAACGTTTACCATAAATACTGCACTGTTGTGTAGACGAACAGACGAGCAGAAGGATATGCTTAGGTGCATTCCGAATTTGACGTTCGTCAAGAATGTGTACGCTTTATGAGGTTTTCCAAGCTTTCTTCAGCGCGTTAATAATATTTTTGACAAAAAAATTAAAAATTTGATGTGCTAAAGTCGCTCTATTTTGGCTATAGTTTCGATTTCCTACGCATTGCACAAGCGGATAGACGTGTAAATGGGCACAACTAAATTGATTCAACTGTAAAAACTATAGTACACGGCACAATTACGGTACAATTATGGCGTTTTTTTTATTTCCTAATAACTTATTTGTAGAAATTTTAAAACATTCGAATTTCAGCAGATTTTCAATACCGAATATAACCCTGCGAAAGCAGCTGCTTTTTACATGGTTTGACTTGCATCAACTACAGCTTTTATGAATTAGTTACATTCTCTGGGTATTATTCCCAAGAATTCTTAGGAAACTTACCGTTACTTGTAACGCCAATCTATACATTTATGTTATGTTAGAAAATATGTGAAAGTAATTAGGAAACTATAATTGGTGGAGTCCGTTTAAATTTAATAGAGTCGGTGGGCCATAATTGAATTAGTTTCACGTAAAACAATTACCAAGCTTATCCAACACAGATTCTAAGACAGGCCGAAATTCATTTCAAACTTAGAACTTCATATATTTTGTTAAAAATTAGTGTTGTGTCCAATGATTCTGATAAATTTGTATTAAGTAAAACACTGATGAAGGTTCTAGCTGCATTGCTAACTTACTTGTAATTTTCTGCCATTGTTGCAATCGGTTGAGGTATAGGAGAGTACATTGAATTAAATCCAGTATTCAGTGGAAGACGTGGAGCAACAGCCTGTAATGGAGGACTGACCGAATTCGTATGACCTTCAGCGCCTTCAATAACATTGGTGCTACTATTACTGCTCGCTGTTACAAGGGCCGTAGAAGTAGCAGCTGCTGCTTCGCTATTTGTTGCATTGGCGCTAGTCGAATTTGGGGTATGACTAGAAGAATTGTTGTCTGCGATACTTCCTAAGACTGAATTTGTAATTCTTGTACTTGGTATGGAGCTATTGTTAGAAGGTGTTTCAGCACTTGTTCGGCTACTGTTTCCAATATTGTGCGCAGGCCGTCGTTGTGTGCGTAGTTTCTCTTCTCTGCGCCATTTCGCCCGTCTATTCGAAAACCATACCTACATTTAAAATTAAGTATATTATGTCTTCAATTTACTCCGAATTTAATTATTGTTATTTCGTTATTTTTTAACATTTACGTGTCCCAAATATTCAAATAAAAAAAATGAGTAACTAGAAGAATAAACGTTTCTAATAAAGCTCAAAAAATAAATAAATAGAACAAACGAAACTTAAACAAGTTACGGATGCAACTGCGTTCGTAGGTTATGAAGGATAAAAAGTATAATTAATTATTCATTTAAACAGCTTTTCAATAATTTTGATGTGTTGAAATTAGTTCAGTAATTACATAGTTGCGTTCTAAATTTTTTCAACGAAAGTGTACTATCGAAAACTGCACCAAGATAGCCGTTTTGAAGTCCCTTAATAATAGTCTTAAGTAATTGAAAAAAATTTGCAAATAATTCTATCTAGTCACTTGTGATGAAATTATATTATATTATTTATATACAGCATTGTCGTCTATACATTAACAACATAATTGGACGGGCAGCTTCATTATGCGGCTGAGTGCTGGCCACTCATTACAAGTGAACAGCGACGTAACTACAGAGTTGGAATTTGTTATAAATTTATTTATACATAAATTTTGCCTATAAAAAACTAAAACCCGAATTAGGAGTCCCTTTAAAAATACATATCCTAAGATATATATTAAGCTTAAGTTCTATTAAGTATAAAAATTGAAGAAAGGACAAAATGATCAAATAATGTATGGAGAAAAAGCATGCACATCTAACACAGAGGCCTATTCGCATCGGGTATAGATCTGAGTGGGGAACGAAGCAATAATGCGATACAAACATGCAGCAACTAGCCAATCAATGATAATAAAAATATTTGCTTTAATTTGGCAATCATACAATCCTCGAAAATACAAAGGTAATTAAGATGACGTAAGCATAATGCGTATATTGCGGAGAATTAGTTTGATACCATTTGAAGAGTTGATACTAAATTGAGGATATTATTTAGATTTTTGCAAAGAGAGGTTATGAAAATAAACTTTCTAAAAAAACGGTAGGAACAGACCAGTTTATCTCTTATAATAAAAGCGACGAGCACAGCCTTTCATCAATAGAGCCCTTAAATAAACTTTTGTGAATCGATGAAATACCCACTAGTGGAAGAAAATTATAAAATACCTTTCTGGGAATCTCCGCTTGAATGTGCACGTTTGCCAGTACTTCTGGAGGACTTAAAAAAAAAAAGTAAAACCGGGCCATGTGTCAAGTAAAGTAGACGGCTAAATATTGTATATTTTGTATTCTTATTAACGCATTTTCGCGAGCCGTAACCGTTACCAATTACTTGGTATGACACCAACCTTTTACCATTGCATGCTATTTCAAAGAAAGAGCCATAGGTTTCCTATATATGACATGTTACTTGTTACTTTATCGTAGTTAACTATCGGAAGGCCTTGCCCAATTAAACTTCTGCGTTGCACACTAATCCACCGCATATTGGTAAATTCAATGTGGCAGTGCAAATGTTGTCAGTATATCACCGTGCCTTCAAAACAATGATAAATCGGAATATCCGAAAAGTACTGCTTTAAGCTCAACAACTTATATACTATGTGCCAACTAGAAAATTTAGAAGTGATCAGTGATATTAACACTGTGGTTGCCCATTGTTTAGTTTTTGGTAATACTTTCTGGTAAGTAATTATATACTTTATAAAAGAATCACTATAGAGATAACAACCCATATAATTTAACCAAACTTGCTTGCTTCATTTAAAGGAGCGTCTGATAAATAAAATAGGCCCACGATGCCAATGTTGAAATATATGTTTGACTAAAACGGTAATTTAAAGAGCTACACTATGTCTAAAGATAAATTTCCAGAAAAAACTTATATTGCCAAGTATACAGTTGAATTAACATTAAATGCAACAATAACGAAATGTACTTAATCTTAGTTTAGTCAGATTGCACAATTTCCAATGCAAAATGCTTTAAAAATATTCAAATACTCTCTGCTTCAAATCAAACCAAAATTCACGCAACATGAAGTCAGATCATACCTGAATCATCCCACAAAATTAGAAACGGAGTATTATTATTAAGACTTCAGCGAAATTGAACTAAATGTCATTTATTTAGAACGTCACTTTAAAACAGATCGTTCACAATTATGTAAAAAATATATGATATTTCGCGGAGATAAGAATTCATAAGAATCTTTTCAAGGAGGCCAAAGTTTGACAGTCAACAACACATTTCACTGCTTCATAATTTTTTAAGTTTTTCGCAACGGGCGCCATTCAATACTGATACACTACTTCACTAGAATTTTGCTGCAAATATAAGTTCTCCTCAAATATTATTTTCTCTACATCAGTGCTTGAGAAACAATTAAGCTACAACATATTAATTCGGGCTCCTAATCTCATTTTACTTATAAGTGGTTTCAAAAATATTTATACCACTTCGTAAAAAACCAAAATAAATTTTATAGATTAGAAGGAACAATAATATATAATAGTGGGTTAATAAGTTCCGGGACTATGTGAGAATAACTTCTTTTGGGAAATTCGACTTTATTCGGCAAGAAGGTCACCTTTGTAACATTTGGTTTTATATTATTATGAACTGTTAATATCACGAACGAAAAACATGCTTGATGTGGAAGAGATTTTTGCCGGGAGAAACAGGGCCTAACATCAGGTAATAAGAAGAAGATGTCATTTTCTTGACAAAAAGGAGAAGAAAAATAAATATAGTTAGACATAATAAAGTTTCTAAAGTTTTATGGAAGATAAATTCGAAAAAAAATTAAATAAATATCGATTGGTGGTTAAAATTGTCTGCGAAACATGACTTATTTTAGCACATTTTTAGAAAAAATTGGGAAATATACTAAAGCAGTAAGTAATGCTTGACGAAAAACAGAGTGGAGGCAGACGTTTTAATTTTTTTTTTGAGAGAGTAAAAAAATTTCTCTGGGTATTAAAAAAAATACATTTACATACAAAATCAAAAGAAAGTGGGAAAAAGGGAAATAAAACGAAATTAAGCGACTCTGAGAAGTTGAAGCATATTGTAAATTATAGCATATTAAAAAGTTCCAGAAAAAAGTTCCATTGCGTGGCTGTTTGCATTTTTTTTCTTTATTTTGAGGTGTGGGTGATCATTTCTTGCAACTAAAAAAAAAACATAGGAACAACAAAAACATGCCTAAGAACGGTTTTGTTTGTCCGATATAGTACAAAATTTTAAACAGAGTAGTCATATGAACTATTTAATAAAGTCAACAACAAATTTAGTTTACAGAGTTTTCTAAAAAGAACGAAGGGGTTTCTTTCCCTTTTTTCCTTAGTAAATTTCGCACAGTTGTGATCATCAAACTGCAATATATACTTTTACTAGGCAAAGAAAAAGAAAAAACTTATTTTTGTTAACCATTAAAATTGTCTGCGAAACATGACTTATTTTAGCACATTTTTAGAAA